TGAGGGCTTTTCTTCCCGGCGTCTACTCCTCTTGTTCTCACTGCCTTCTGTGATGCCGACTGGGGCGGTTGCCCCCTTTCCCGGCGTTCTACTTCAGGCTATTTTATTACTCTTGGTGCTTCTCCGATTTCTTGGCGCACGAAGAAGAAAACAGCTGTGGCGCGTTCTTCGGCCGAGGCAGAGTATCGGTCTATGGCGAGTGCGGTTAGCGAGGTGCTGTGGTCGCGCTGGCTTCTCCGTGATTTAGGTGTTCACATTTCGGATCCTACTCCGTTGTTCTATGATAATCAGGCTGCCCTTCATATTGCAGCTAACCCGGTTTTTCATGAGCGGACCAAACATGTGGAGATGGATTGTTATTTTGTGCGTGAACGAGTTCAGTCTCGTGACATTGTTCCTCGGAAGATAGCTACTTCGGAACAACCTGCTGATTTGTTTACCAAGGGTCTGAGTGTTGATCAGTTTGGTCATCTTCTTGGCAAGATCGGACTTCTTGACATTCACTCTTTCGCTTGAGGGGGAGTATTGAGATCCCTAGTGTTACACGTTGTTTTATTAGGGATCAGTTTGTAATTTTGGTTTAGTCTTTTCCCACGTTGCCTGTTACTTTGGGAAGACTATTTAAGTCTCATGTTGGCTGCCTGTAAACCCTAAGCAAAAGGGTAAAACTCACGTATTAGTTTTTCAGCCGAGAGCTCTTTGCTCTCCGTGGAGTAGTCTCGTTCATCTTGAACGAGGAAACCACGTAAATCTTGGTTTCGTGTGCATTGTTTCTTTTCCGCGTTCATCGTATTTTACACTCACAATCCATTAAATGCAAATATCCTATGCTTGCGACAGAATTCCAATTTCAGTTAACAACGATGAAGGAGGAAATTACCTCTGCACAGTGCAATTGCATGAATCAGAAGCTGGAAACTGGGGTCGCTACAATCGTTGCGGTTGGTTCAGTGGGGAGGGTACAGTTGTAGCTTCGATTATAGAAGACGGAAACGTTGTTTGAGGGTACAGTTGTAGCTTCCTTGGACACGAGGAGGGTAGGTGAGTGGGGAGGAGATGACCAGTGAGGCCAGAGAGATGAAAAGCTTTGGCGAGTCGCTGGTCGGTTTTGTGCAGGGGTGGGAATCGGTCGGTAAACGGTAAATTGGTTACCGAATTTACCGGTTTCGGTATACCGAACTGGCCAAAACTGTTTACCGTTACCGATACCGGTTTGTAACCGGTTTACCGATTACCGAATTACCGGTAAACCGGTTACAAACCGGTTTACCGAATTACCGCAAGGGGGAACAAATTTGGTGATTGGATCCTTCTAAAGAATGGAGAATTACCTGCTGTACTTTAGAAAAAAATTAATCATTTATCTCTAAATAAAAATTAATCATTTATATTTCATTTTCACTTATCTTATTCTTTTTTATCTAACTTCCTCTCTACGTATTATTTGCCTAACGCCACCACCAATATACATATTAATCTCTCTCTCCCCACTCTGACTCTGCCCCTCTCCGTCTCCAACCCAGAAGAGCTCTGTTCTTTTGTTTGTTTCTTCTGAATATCTCCACAGCTATTTTCTCTATGCATGTATAATTTTCTCTCTCAAATCTCAAAATTGAACAGAAAATCCACAAACAGGAGCTTTGATCTCTCTCCCCTCTCCGACCCGGCAGAGAGCAAGATGAAGGCCTATTCCCTTTTGTTTTTACGATCAGAGGAAGAAACAAAAGTGGGTTGATGATCGTCGATTCACTGCGGGGAAGGTCAATGTAAACAATAACTGTGCTGGTGACCCTCGATTCTAGACGGCGGAGGACGATTGATAGTTGGGCTGCGATGGTGACCCTTTGATTCGCGACGACGGAGGGAATTCCCAGCCAGCCATACAACGACGGAAGGAACTTCCGACCAGCCAAGAAGGCGAAGGTCCATTGACGAATTGGGTGACCTAACTCCTGCTTCTTCTTTTTGCTTCTGTTCCTCTGTTTGTAATTCAAATTGGTGGTAGTAGGTTCACTAGTTTTTCTCATATTTGCCCACTTCTGCTCCACCTTCCTTATTCGGTATTTACCGATTTACCGACGGTAAATACCGACCCCGTATCCGATAAATTGGATCCTCACCGTCGCCACCGAATACCGATACCGACGGTAACCGGTTTACCGTTTACCGACCGTTACCGGTTCGGTAAAACGGTAAACCGGTTACCGTATTACCGTTTGTCAGCCCTAGTTTTGTGTTACTGGGTTGAAATCGTCTTTGGGCCCGTTCAAGTTCAATCTGCGTCTAACTTCCGCACGAAACAACTTCCTCCTTCCAAAAATACTCTTCCGACAAATGCTCCCTGAGCAGGATATTTGAAATGGGGATCCATTTTTTCCCTTCGTACTTTTGTACATAGTGTAGATTGAGCAGTACTGGCCAAATAAACCACAAAAAGAGCATACAGACAACATATTGTAGTACTCAACGCTCATATATAACTCTTGCATTTCATTAGTGGTTAAACTTACCCTATCAATTAGCTTCATCGCCGCACTGATCTCCATACATATTTGAGTAGTACCAAGCTTCTTCCAATGCTCAGTCAGTTGATCCATATATAGGGGCTTACCTAGAAAACTCTCAATCCTTTTCATACCCTCTTGAAATGAAAGCTCAGTCGAAAAGATCCGAAAACGATATCCAAATCCGAATAGTCAAATTTTTTATATCCATATCACCCACCATTGAAAATACAAAATAATGTTGTGATAAAGCCACAACCTCCCTTCAAACACCCAGTTAAATGCTAACATCGCCGAAAATTGAAAGAGCGGCGTATTTTATCTTTTAGATTAATTAATGAGTTATGTCTCACAAAAGTGGATAACAATGGCTATACCTTTTGGAGAGAGAGACCTATCTTTATTCACCTCTTTACAAGAATTCACTCATCAATAGGGACTCCACTCGAGGCTGGGATTCTTAACTGTAAAAGTATCGAGTCAATCAATCTAGACTAGTACTCAACATCGATTGGCTGAAAGAATTCGAGTCATTCATGACTAAGTGAGCTTCCACCTTGTAAGTAGTTAGGCTAGTGGTTAGAGTAGTTTGGTTAGCTTAATTTCTTAATTAGTATCCTTGTTTTGGCTAGATAACAAACCAAAATTGAAGTAACGATACACCTGGAAATCCTAAGACTTGATAATTTTATTACTTGCTTCCACTGTACTACTCCTGATCATTAGTTACTCTTGATAATCATCTACTAAACGTGTAATTAGAGACGAGTCATTTAGTTCAAAATGTCATATAACTTTCAAAACTATTAACACCAACCCAAATTATACATGGTACAATTGTGGCAGTTATATACCCTCAATGCTGTAATAATATACTCTAGTTGTAAAGGAGAGGCGGCCGCTCACCACTCAGCACCGTCACAAAAGTTTGAAAACTTTGAATTCCGTTATACGTTCGCAAATGGCTGGCTGTACATGTTCGCAACAAATAAAAACAATTCTCGACGGCTCTCAAACAAAATATGTTAAATGTTGCATGACACATGAGCTAATAAATAATAAATGATAATAATAATAATAAAAAGGGAACTCTATTTTATCATAAGCGAATCATATTTTAAAATACTAAGATCAAGATCGGGTCAAAATTTCAACACTTGACCAGAATCTCGCTACTGCCAGCCCCCACGCACAGCCGTCGACTTCCAAGACAAATACACGCCGGTACACTAGGCAACATTTTCATTTATACATCTTTATTTCTCCAAGGTTTTAATTTCACTGATATTTTATATTTGTAACCCTAAATACAAGCGGTTGTTTGTTGATAGATTTGCGAAATGAAGGATTTTGATTAAAATTTGAGATTTATAATATCACAAATTTAAGATGAAATTCGTTCATTATGAATTTGAACTGAACATAAATTTTGCTCAATTATTATTGTTTCTTATCATATATATTGAGGATATATGAATAATATTCTTGTGATTATCTTTCGAAATTCTCTTTTAGAGCTAAAATTTCCAAACACATGGGAATAAAAAGATTAGAAAAAAATTTACAATGATTTGGAGAAGCAAGCTTAAAATTATGATAGTCCGAAATTTAGTGAAATTGAAAAATGGCTCATTTGAGGTAACAAACGACATTTTGGCGAGGAAGGCGGGCCAAATGTCCTTCAGTGTTTGAGACTTCGAAGATCTAAAAATTTATGTGAAATAAAAAAATAATTCGCTATGATGAGATAAGCGAGGCGCAAAGTAACGCCCCTCGGGAAGTTTTGACCTTAGATGTAGATCACCAAATTGTCCTTTTTTTCGAAGGTTAGATCGATGTATATATTCATTAGTGATCAAAATGGTTCGCTTTCTGTTTCCAACAATCCACACTAATTCGCTTGTATCAGCCGTGATCCACAGATATTCAAGACCGGTTCACTTCTGTCTATCTTGAACCTGTTCGATTTGGCCCGTCCCGATACAGATCGTCGCTCTTGTTTCCAATGAACCACTATTTAGTTAGCTTCGTAACTTGAGCTAAGTGCCCCCCCCCCCCCCAACTCTTGAATTTTGATCATAAACTTTTTGCAAAGTATTGTATTGTGTGAATTTATTTTTATTAACCCTTGTACTTGGTAATAAAGTCCTCACATATCTGGATAGTTAATATGAACTCAACAAATTAAGGAAGAACAAAAAAAAAAATGAAACACCATCATAGCCACGCCGTCGCCTTAGTTTTGTCCCCACGTTTCACTCCGTTCGCATTAAAATTTCTTTGTTCCTTTCCTTCAGTCATCTCATTTCCCGCTCCCTTCCTTCCTTCCTTTCTTCACATACATGATACATCTCCCCCCGTCTTCTATTCTATATATAAACGATCCATCCAACTCGGTTATCCACATTCCTCTTTTCCTCGTCACTTAATTATCTCCTCCAAATAGTTGTACTCATGGAAGCCTACTCCTCGTCTTCTTCATCTTCCACGTCATCTATGTACCTGGCTGCAGCCAACAACAACGTTATTATTACCTCCTCGTCATCGTCAGACGCCCCTCGAAAACCGTTCCATTCATCTCTCCATTCGATTCGGAACTCCAACACCAAGAAGCCATGGAACAACAAGAAGTTACCCATCGCTCCGCTTCCGCCGAACCCTCCTAAGGTCTACAAGGTCGATCCGTTCAACTTCCGGGACCTCGTCCAGCGCCTCACTGGAGCCGCCGCCGCCGCTGAAGCCAGCCAGCCTCAGTACCAGCAAATACAGCACCCGAGGATTCAGAAGCTTGACCTGCTGGAGAGGCAGCCGCCGCCGCCGCCGATGCAGCAGCTTCTTCTCCCTCCGACTCAATCGAAGAGCGGTGGTGAACGGCAGGAGGGGTCGCCGTTTTCGGGGCTGTTTCGGGAGTTGATGATGGCGGAAAGGTCGTCCTACGTGGAGGAGGATAGTAATAATAATATTAATGATTATTTTTATAATAATAATAATGATGACACTACGGCGTCGGATAGTTCGGTGGAGCTGAATCTGCTGCCGTCGCCGACCTCTCAACACTGCTGGTTCCCGCAGCTGTTGAGCCCAGCGGGGCCGGGGAACTTGATTTCCGGTTTGAATCTCTAGGTCTCGATCTCTATGTATATGATTATGATGGTCCTCTCTCTAGCAGCTATTTCTTTATTCTCGTTGTAATAGTTTTGAATAATTGTAGCGTTTTAAACATTAATTAATTGTTCTTGATTTAATTAAACGTATACAAAGAGCCATAAGATCCAAACTTGATTTGTGAGCGTCGGCCGGGATGGGTGGAAATTATAAACATTTTATATAGCTCTCTGTGTCCATCCATTGCCCCCAGCATGTGGAAAAAAATTTATTAGGAGAGAAAACTATTCTTATTTTATTTAAAAATTAGTATCTGTTCAACGTGGTTTTATATATATATATGGTGAGTACCTGATAGGGATCGAAATTGTATGAGTGTATAGATCCCTTTTATTGGCTGGATTGAGCCAGTCTTCTCGTTTCTTGGTGAGAAAGACCAGGTTGCTATGTGCAGAATAATAATGCTTGCCTTCCTTTCATTTGTTCCCCTCCTATAAAGGAAATCAATCCAACTAACAAAAGCCAACAAATCAGCACCTACTGCTGAACTCCTAACCGCACGTCCCACTGAAGGTGGAGAAGTGCTTATTCCTCTATCAACTAGTAAGACCAATTCAAATCCAAACATCCAAACAGAATTCGAAATAATAATCCAAAACAATATTCAAATCTTATTCTATGCCAAGCTGCTGTAACAAGGTTCGTGACTAGTGATCGCTGAGACGAGGGTTGGGCCGATGAATGCGTCCCGATCGTCTTGGCCTATCATGGCCCATGTGAGGAGACCCGGTTGATGTGGATCGCAGCTCATCATCACCCTCCCATTGAGCAGCGGACTCGTCCTCGAGGACAGATTGGAGAAAATGGTTGTGGAAGACAGAGGCTAGCTCCCAAGTTGCATCATCTTCGGGCAGCTGATGCCATTTGATAAGAAACTCTTCGACCAGACGGTTGCCACAGTGGGTCCAGCGTGTTTCTAAAATGGCATGGGGTGGCAAAAGCAAGGCCCCATCTTCTCCTATCGGAGAAATGACAGTGGAGAGTGCTGGAGCAGGGGAATGACAGGGGCAGAGCAAGGAGACGTGAAAAACCGGATGAACGTGGCTGTCGGGAGGAAGAGCCAGGCGGTAGGCCACCAGACCGATGCACTCAGTAATGATGTATGGACCAAAATAGTGGCAAGCGAGTTTTTGAGATGCCCAACGAAACACAGAATGCTGCCAATATGGGGTGAAGATTCAAGTAGACTGGATGCCCCACTTGAAAGTTCAAATCACGGCGACCACAATCAGCCTGTTGTTTCATCCGGTTCTTAGTTGTTGATAAGTAGTTGATAGCACCATGTTTGCACATGTTTGCACACTTGTTTCTTAACCGTTTTGGCTCCAATTTATGGTTTCTTGGCCTATTTTACGCTAGATTGTGTTATTTTGTCATATTTCAGATCCTAGTGAGTAAAGGGAGGCATAGGCGCAAGTTTCAAGTCAATCGGAGATCAATTGGCGATTCGGGAGAAGAAACTCGGGCATGACCTGAAGAAGAATGGATTTCTACCTCATTTATGGATAAATAATCATGCAAGCTTGTCATTAAAAGAAAGAGGACGAGACTACGAGCGTCTAGGATCAAACGGTAACTTATTCGGAGTCCGGACGAGGGAGAAATGAAGCATTGAATATAGTAGGGGAACAGGTTCGGCGGAAGAAACACGGGCAAACTACCCTAAACATACGACCATGTTTCATCTGGCACCTGCTAGTGTTTTTTATGCCAAGCCTCTCTTGTGAAGACTGCTAAAGGGATTCAAAATGTGTGCGGGACCAAAACACGGGCAGGACTAAACATGGTCGTGTTCCCGATCGTGTTTCTGCCCCCTGCTCGGGTATAAGTCTATTTTCTGCGATTTTTGAGAGGGGAGAGTTGGGTTTTGGTTCCTAAACACCCAAGGGATGAACCCTAGAGAATGAGAGCGACTTGGGAACATTCTTGGAGCTATTTTGGAGGATTGTTTCACCATTTGAGCTCGAGAATCAAGCTTGGAGATGGAGATTGAAGATCTAGATCAGATTTCTGCAGTCTCTCTCTTCTCTAAGGAGTAACTTCCCTTCACTTAGGTTTTGAGGAACCTTATTTCCATGTGTTAGGATATTTCTTGTGTGAAGTTTTGGATGCTATATTATGTGATTATAATCGATTGAGGCATGATTTATTGAGTCAATTGAATCCTGATCAAAACCTCTTAATTTCTGCTTTAACCTATGATAGATAGAATCTGATTAGGTTAAGAGAGCTTCCTTGATTGATAGTAGTGAATTGGTTGTGCGAGAGTCAGTCAATTCACTACTTTGTACTGTAATTCATTCCAGTAGCGGAGATCTGTGTGAATCGCCATAGCAGTCTATCCCGGTGAAGGCTAGTGGCCTGCCGGGTATTCTGTCTAAGAGGGCTTGGTCAGCTTAAGAGATTCCAAGCTAATTTAGGAACTTTCACAGATTAATCAACAGTAAAACAAACAAAAGGAATTACAACTTGGACCTAATTGAGGAGCTAGGGGGAATCATATCTAAGTGAGTTCCCAACCTGTAATAAGTAGAGTAGTTTATTAAATCAATCCTTAATCTAGTTTGCTAGATAATGAAATGAAGTTGACTAATAGTAACTCTAGAGACCCATGGATTCGATATTTATTACTTGTATCACTATACTGCAGCCCCTTTCATTGGTTACACTTGGCCATTGTTAGGTGTTGTGTCATAGCGTGTCAGTTGTGCTGAAGATCGGCCAGGATCGCATTGCGTTCGAGAAGAGCCTGGTCCACCTCATGGACCGATGTAGATCCCAGTCTGTAAAAAGGAATGAAAGGAGGAAGGCGACCGTACAAGGCTTGAAAAGGAGTCATACCTGTCGAACCATGAAAAGTGGAATTATACCAGAATTCCGCCCATGGAAGAAAGGAGAGCCAATTGCGAGGGTCTTGGTTCGCGAAGCACTAGAGGAACTGTTCAACGCAACGGTTGACAACCTCGATCTAGCCATCAGATTGGGGATGGTACGAAGATGACATTTGTAGTTGCGTGCCAAAGAGATGGAAGAGCTCGCGCTAGAAGTTGTTGGTGAGGACCAGATCGCGATCACTAACTATGGATCGTGGAGGCCCGTGAAGTCTGATCACGCTGATTAGAAAGGAATCGGCAACAGAACGGGCAGTATAAGGATGGGAAATTGGAATGAAGTGTGTCGATTTGGTGAGATGGTCAACCACCACTAAAAGTACAGATTTGCCACCCGAAGAGGGGAGACCCTCGACAAAGTCCATCTAAACGTCCTCTATACTTGAGTCAGAATCAAGAGAGGTTGGAGTAGGGCTGCCGGAACTAGGGCTTCGGCCTTGGCTCGTTGACAGACGTCGCAAGCACGTACGAATTGCTTGACATCCTCCAGCATCGAAGGCCAATAGAAGTGAGTTGCGAGACGTTTGTAGGTGTGTTTCATCCCCGAGTGGCCTCGCATGGGTGTGGCATGGAACTCATGCAGTAGCTGTCGCACGTGAGGAGAGTTGGGGGGAATGACGATATTGTTAGCCCAAAAGATGTTTGAGGCTTTTTTGGACGCCAAGCTTGGACGGCCCTTACCACTGCTAGCATCTCTTTTGCATATGTGGAGAGAACTTCCTTTGATTTTCCGAGGGCGCGGCTGATGAACGCGAGTGGGCGATCATTCTGCATAAGTACGACACCGATTCCGGATCTGGAGGCGTCCGTCTCGACCACAAATTTCTAGGAAAATCGGGAAGAGCGAGGACTGTTGTCGTTGTCATGCCCGTTTTGAGTGCAGTGAAGGCATTGGCGGCCTCGCTCGTCCAGCCGAACTGTCCCTTCTTCAGTAGATTGGTAAGAGGCCGGACAATGGTGAGGCCTAAGAATCCAAGTAGCTCTGTAATGGTCGTTGGAGCCGGCCAGTCGAGCATCGCGGTGATCCTGCGCGGATCTACTTTGAATCCCACTACTGATATGAAAAGACCCAAGTACTCGATCTCACCCATACCGAATGCACATTTGTTGAATTTGACGAAGAACTGATGGTGACGGAGGATTTGGAAGACTTGTCACACATGTTGGAGATGGGTGGCCTTGTCTTTGCTGTAAATTAGTATGTCGTCGCAAAAAACACGCACGATTTGCGAAGCAATGGACGAAAAATTTCATTCATGATGGCCTGGAAAGTTGAAGGCTCGTTGCAAAGGCCAAAGGGCATTACCATTTTATTCATTCATGCGAACTGTTCCCACCTTATGCGGTAACTCGTAAACATCACTTTTGTTTGCCCCCTTCAGCAGGTGCGCCCCCGTGCGAAGATCCTTCACAAGAAAATGAGTGGCAAAAAATTTCACTGACACAGGATTAGTTTGGCATAATTTAGCCACCGAAATAAGATGCTTCTTGATAGCAGGGACACATAGCACATCATTTAAGTGAAATAAATGAGAACCAGTGGATACGGATGAGGAACCAATATGGGAGATGGCCAAACCTGTATCATCACCAACTTGAATCTCGTATGGGCCTAGATAGTCCGAACAAAAAGAGAGATTCCCAAGATTAGGCGTGGCATGATGGGAGGCAGTAGAGTCAAGAATCTAGAGGCCAGAAGATGTAGAGGAAGGCCTAGGTGCCGAGGTATAGTGGGCTTGAGCTGATCGAGCCTAAGTAAAAGCCTTCTTGGCTTGAGGAAAGAGCTGAAAGCACCGTCTAACGACATGCCCTGGTCGGTCGCAATACTGGCACCAAACTGAAGACCGCCGCTGCTGCCAAGGAGAATCCAGGGAAGAAAAAGCAGGACCATGCGAAGAGTGGGAGCTGCCATCCGTGCCATAGGATTGTTGCTAGGAACGACGGTGAGTAGAAGGACCACCACTTGAATTACCGCCACCACCGAGATTGCCACCGGTGTTATGGCTGTCATTACCACGATGAAATTGACCCTGAGAAAAGAAAGCAGTCGGAACATCAGAAGTGTGG